ACACACACAAACATACATTTCTTTTTGTGCCATGGTGTCAACAAAGGTTGACAACATGTTCTATATCTACGTTATCTACTTCAACATGGAGTATATCAACATATTCATTTACTGGGAAGTTTCAACATGGTGGCCAACATGGAGCTTCAACTCAGTGATTTTCTTTCTGGAACATGACTGTCTTAGACAACATGTCGGATTGCAACATGAATTCGTTTTGTCGTTTTGATGACCATCGAGGAGTCCAACTCCATCAAACCAACAGAGACGGCTGGGGAGTCAACCAACACGGTGATCCCAGCACTTTTGGGCAGCCAACGTATGCCCAACTTCGACAAGTTGATCTTAGCGCCTTCGCCACAACTGGCGCTCACAACAATGTACATGCATGCACGCAACAGAGATGCATGTTACAACGAAGATTCCAACAAAGTGGCTCATGATTACCTGGGTTGAGGATGTTCAACAACATCGTCTTCGAACAGGCAACCAGGTGATCAACATGTTCAACAGGGGCTACATGTATCCACAGCAACAGATCGAGACTGAATGCAACCTTCGTTTCACAATGTTTGAGCTGGCATCCCAACAGATCTGGGAGATCAATGCAGATGGAGGCAACACCATGCATCAACAGATCTGCAACTATTTCCAGTGGAACAAGGACTGGATGTGGACCTACAACATCCCGGTTTAAGTGTCCAACATGACCGTGGAATCAACACAACAGGAGAAGAGGCTCGTACTCCAATGCTTGGAGTATGGTGGAGCACAGATGCTCCATCATTTCACAACATCCACCAGGGATGCTGTGATGGAGATGCTGCAACAGATGCACAGCACCAGCATCACCAGCGAGCGGCATCAACACAGGCAACATCCTGTTCCAAGGAGCCAAAACAGTTGAGAGGATCAGAGGCAACAGCCACCTGGCAACATGGGTCGAGCAACAGTGGACGGAAGAGATGATCAACAACCATTTCAAGCGATCAATGTGTGGCGCCTCAACAATTTGCCACTCACCATGCCCAAGGATGAGATCCAACAGTTGCTGCGTGAGAATTGCGCAACAACCGATGATGATCAACAGATGGAAGGATGAGAAGTCATCCAACAGGTGAGACTGGCACCTCAACCAACAGTCTTGGATCTTCAGCAGATCCCTGCGCAACAAGAGGTTCAAACGTGAGAGCCGGGAATGCGCAAAATTAGATGAGTGTTTGATCAACATCTGCGGCTGGGCAGCAGATGTAAAACTACAAGCCGTCAGCCCTGTACAGAGATCAACACCTAATCCAATAGTATCAACATAATGTGATTGCGTTTCAACAATGTTTGTTTTGTGCAATGTGTTGGAAGCTCCAACAAATTGAGGGGCCGTGTTAAGTAACAACATTGTCCAACACACAATTCGTGTACAGTTCAACAGCTGCTGGATGTCACTGTCAACATTATGGATCAACAGGCCTTGAGCCTGAAGCTATCCTGAGACTGTTTGCCAACAGTACAAAAGAGTGAGCGCGCACAGCATCAGCTGCAACATTGATACAACTGAGCTGCCTGAATCTTTTCATATATTGGCATACATGGGGGATACTGGTGGCGTCATGCTGAGAGGTTGGCCTCAAACATCCACCATTTGAATCCATTTTGAATTTCCGACTTTTCCGACTTTCTGAGGACATTTACTCAATGTCTGAGGATGGTTCGTTTGGGCCTTAGTCGTCCTTAGTCGTGGTCCTTGGTCGATCGTTACACGCGTTGCTACGCGGCTGAGGAGTTGCTTTCCAGTGGAGGTGGTGAAGGCATTGGAGCCCAAGGAGCGGAAACCCGCCCAATGTTTCGATCCGTTGATCTACCAGATTTCATAGGTGGTTCATAGGTGGTTCATAGGTGGTTCATAGGTGGTTCATAGGTGTTTCCCATCTCCAATGGAAGTCATACGGCAAAAAGAGACGTTTTTTGACGTATGAAGAGCAAATCGGATATAATTGATATGATGGAATGTAAACATTGCAGGAATGGACATCTATTTTTGAGCAGGATTTGGTGATCCACCGTGAGGAATCCCAATCATGCCCATTCGCCATTCGCCAGTTTGTTGTTGCACACAGGACAAGGAGAATCTGCTGATGATAGTTCCAAACTTAAAAACCAGAAATCCAGATTAGATAGATTAGTTTCAGCGATTTTCAGCGCCTTTGCTTCAGCCTTGTGCCAAAAAATGTTGAGTCTCAAAATGTCTTGACATCTCAAGGTCTTCAATGACTCGGATGGAAAGTTATTCAGGCTCACTTCTTTTTGCGCAGGGCCGCAGGGCCATCAGCAGCGTATCGGGAGACGTGATGTGTCCGTGATGTGTCAATATGTGTCACTTCGTGCCAGTTGATGCCGTGTAAAAAAACATTTCATTTCATTTCATTTGATGCCATTTGACAAATTAATTGATGTCACTTGATGTCACTTGATGCATCAAGTGTCACTTGTCAATGCGCCAACAGGTTCTGCCTCGTTGAGGAATCCACTCAAAGTCGCGACGATTTCCTCGAATGCATGAGGACAGCACCTGACAGACCTGGGATTGTCCCATTTTTTTCAGGGAGAAGACGAGCTTTTTGAGACTGGATGAATGTGCAATTTGTTCTATTTGTATGGATCAGAATTGACTTACAGACATCTCTGTGCATCTCTGCTGAGTGCACCGAGTGCAGTTGGCCTTGTTGGCCCCGTTGGCTGGTCAGGATCCTGTGTATTTATGCACAATCTGGCCCCAATGAGCGCTGAGAGTATCTGAGAGTTTGTGGGTTGTCGCATGCGTCTAGAATCTGTGGGGTGGCCACGGACTTTGGGCCACGATGTGACCCAAAACTTGGCAGATTCCGGGGAGTTGTGTAATAAAACATGTATGACATTTGTTCAAATTTATGAAACATGTTTGGAAATCGCATCATTTTCTCATTGCTCATATTGCTCTCCGTCCTTTTACTGTTTGTGATATTTTTGAAAGGGCGAGAACCAGATTTAAAGTTTCACAGTAGCGGCAGTAGCGGCTAGCTACAGTTAGAAGTTTCACCCGCGATATCCACCAGGCAAAAGTGTAGGACGCCTTGAAGAGCACAGAAGTTACATGAACTGTACCAATCAGAATATTCACATCATATATTCACAAATTATTCACATGATCATATGATCATATCATATCCAATTCGTATTCATTCAGTGCATTCCTCTGCTTCAAGTTAGATGTGGCAACGTCTTTATCTGTCGTCATTTTCGAGCGAACTGCGGACATTGGCTGACAGCTGGGGGTTGGACCCAAGGTTTTTGATGGAGACGAGCTGAGCTCGCAGTGCAATGTTCTGCAATGTTCTGCAAGTCGTACGCTACACATCGGTGTATGCTGCACATGTCGTATCGACACAGCATGCAGGGTATGCTTAAGACATCTACGGATACGGAGGTCATACTCTAAGAGGTCCTACAGAATCCATGAAGGTTCCGAAAGGTTCTGAATGCTCAGAGATTTCACATCTGACAGCTCACTGCCTCGCATGGCCCTGCTTCCTCGGCATGCCAGATGCTGATGAAGGCACTTCCTCAAGAGATGTTTCTGCCATGACCACGGAAGCGATTGAAGTTACTTATATTACAATGGAATGTAGCATAATGTCAATGTGGAAAGACATTTTTGGATCTCTTTTCAACGAATTAGTTGTGGAATGTTGTGGACGTGTTTAATTTCGATGTATTCTGCAGAAGTAGATCTTGTCCCTGAGGTGAGAAGAAAGCTGCAGTCACTCGGTGTAAAAAGGGAGCTGGTTGCTTCTTTTTCCATCGAGAATCAGCCACACCCATACAAAAAGAAGTTGTTGTCTTTTCTTCCACAGCAGATCGTATAAGATCCACAAGCATATATGAAATATGGTGAAATATTTGATGAAATATGCTTAGATTTTATAGCTTTTAGATGCTTTTAGGGGGAACGGCGTGGGGATGTCAATGCCAAATGCCAATAATGCGGCTTGTCAGAGGCTGATGAAGACAGTGACGAGGAGTGGGGCAACTGGTCCGCAGGAGGCGCTGCTGTGGCCATGGCCTGAAACTGATCGACGAGTGGCTGAGATTGGCTGCCCGTGATATCCCAAGTAGACTGACTTTTGTCCCATGGATTCCATGGATTCCAAGCTGTTTGATGATTCTGATGGAGTCCGTGCCAGGAAAGAAGGACTGCCAAACTTTCAGTGGTTTCAGCATGTTTCCAGCATGTTTCAGCAACCAACATGACGTATCATTTTATGGTGAGAAGCAGGTGTCATGTCCAGAGAACAATAGAACAATGGTGCTGTACAGAGGTATAGACCGGTATAGACAACCTAGTCCCGTCAGCATCTTTCAGCACAACTGAAATATTGACCTTTTACCGATTAGCAACAGGTCTGATTACTGTGCCCACCCAATGAACCCGGTAGCATCGTAGCATCCTCGTGCACCAGGAGGGAGCCGAAGGCCATGAATTGCTAGACTTTTGAAGATGTGGTTCCCAGGGAGATGCAAAAAGTGACCAGTTTTGGCCCAATTTGAATCACTGTAAGTTGCCTGGTTTCAAACCCACCAGGTGACGAGAAGAAAGCACAGGAGCTTGAGATTTGAACAACGTTGAAATATGTCGAAACATGTTGAAACAGGGCAGGTAGCTAAAAACATCTCTGGATTTCGATTCACTCCGGTCTCGGTGGTTTCGGGATGTCTCGGGATGTCGGTCAGGAGCCGGCTCCCTTCACCCGAATCCTCCTAAAGGGAAAAGGAAAGGGCGATGACGGCGGAAGGAGAGGTGGAGGTGCGGCAACGCCAATAACACCGGAAAATTCAGCCAACCGAAATATTTAATCATATATATAATTATATATATATATTTATATATGCCCCATATGTTTTTCTTTTTTTCAATCTTTTTTACTTATCTAGATCGCATTTTATCATGCGAATTGCGACGTTTTGAGATGTGTGTTTCAACAGGGCGACGGCTCGAGCGGCACCGCGATCGTCACCGGGATCGGGATCGACACCACCGTGACCGACAACACCGTGGACATCACCGGGGCAAGGTCGAAAGGGGACAAGTTGTGAGGATGAACTATATTGTAACTATTGTAACCATCGGCTAACTCGAAAATCTCATCGAATATTACTTCAGTTTCTATTGTTCTGACATAATCTGTCAAAGAAAATGCATATACTGGAAAAAAAGATATTTGCCTTCAGATGAAGATGTCGAACACACCAGTGATCTTGCAAATTGTCCGAAGTTCCAACCCGTACATGATAGTCTATGGGACATCATGGCAAGGCGGGTCTGCACCGCTTTCGGATTTTTCAGGCGCCAAGAATTTTTTTGACATCTGCCAGGGCTACAGCGGCAAGAACGGCAAGACCAACGGAAAGAGCGGCTACGAGCTCTACGCAGAATTCTCCCACCTTTTCATGAAACAACCCGGCCAGGTGGTTCTTCCGAAGGCCAGACTGTGGGAAGGAAACCTCGATATGCTTGATGTCCTTGGTCAAACTTGTGTTCAGCAGGTTTTGTAGCTGAAAGTCGTCGACAAGTGACAAGTGTTTCATTGAAGATTGATGATGAGATACAGAGGACAAGGTGTGACGAGATATGTCGAGATGTGACAAGATATGACGAGATATGGCGAGATTCTGGGTTTTTCAGTTTTTTTTTCCCAAATGCGTAGCAGCAAGGGTTCCCGTTTCACTCTGGGGGTCTGGTGGTTGAGGGTGTGTTCGCTCGACGTTGCCCAACCGTCCGCAACCGTTCGCAGCCGTCCGCGTGAGGGACGTATGGCCGTGCCTATGGTAAGTTCTGCAGAAGGGGTCACTTTTGGAGGTTTCACATGTGGCGTTTCTTCGTTTCGCGTGGCAGGCGTGGCACTTCGTGACATTCAGACGTTTTTTGTTGCAAGGGTAGCTTCCGATTTTGAAGCTAATCTGTGGATTTAGGTCGCAGCACGATGAGTCGGACCAGCAATCCTTGCTGTGAGTCGTTGTGCTCCGACCTGCAAAGGAATCTCTGGATTTCGGTGCTGAACACGAATGTGCGGGATGGAACATCATTGCATGCAGATGCGGTCCAGCTGCTGCCACTGCCCGCAAGTGTGGATATCTGTGACAATATCGCAGGCATGCAAGGATGTGGGCACTTGCAGCAGTTGAAGATGTCACTGTACCTGGATAACAAGTGGTGTCCACGTGCAGTGGTAGATGCCACTGTATGTGGACAGCAATTGCTGTCCATGCACAGTGGTGTCTTTGCGGCTGCAGAGCTGGAAGAGGATCATGGTCATCTTGCTGTTTGTCATACAAACACCAAGATGAATATCATCCTCTTCCACCGATGTCCTGTTTTATTGACTACAGACATTCGCTTCCGATTCTGAAGCTGGTCTCTGGACGTCGGTATTGTGGATCGGCCTGTTGCTTGTTTTGGTGCAAGCAATGCTTTTCAGTTGAAGACGGGCGTGACCTTGTGACTGCAGACATGAGCTTCAAACATTCTGAAGCTGATCTCTGGATTTCTGGTTTTGGTGGAAGCAATGACTTTCGGTGCTGAACACGAATGCGCAATCATCGTTCAACGAGCATGGACGGTGCAGGATGGCTATGGATTTGTTTGGAGCATCATTGCATGCAGATGCCTGCCAATGCCCGCAAGTATGGATATCTGTGACAATATCGCAGGCATGCTCACATGCGGGCACTTGCAGCAGTTGAATACCATGTGGGTGCGGTGACTGGAGATATTTTCGGACAATCGCAACAAAAACTTTTTGACTGTTTGTAATCGGCTAGCAACATGGTTTTTCTGATGTTGCATCATTGTATGCAGATGCTTTCCAGGTGCTGCCGCTGCTTGCAAGTATGGATATCTATGGCACTACCGAAGACATATACTGACTGTGAATGATTTTTAGCACAGGTGCAGGCACTTTCAGTCGGTGCAGAGCGTCTGTAGCATTGATGTTGGCATTGCCTGTGAAAACTTTCTTCGACACATTTTCTCTGGCAGTTTTTCTCTGACAGAATATTCTCTCACTTTCAGATTGTCAGAAAAGTCATTAGCATTTTCGTGCCCAGCTAGCAACCTGTTGCTTTTATGTTGCCTCATTAGATGCAGATGCTTTTCACGACAACTGGCGGCGCTGTCCCCGTTGTGTTGGTGAGACGCTGGATGGACGTGTGACAGCAAGCTGTGGTGCTAGTACGGTCACTGTTTGTGTGGCCATGAAACGAGAATTCTGTTGCTTGTGTACCTGCCATCATCATCATCATCATCACCACAATCATCATCATCATCATCACAATCATCATCATCATCGTCATCATCATCACCATCATCATCATCATCATCATCATCAGCATCGCATCATCATCATCATCATCAGCATCGCATCATCATCATCATCATCATCATCATCACAATCATCATCATCGTCATCATCATCACAATCATCATCATCATGACAGTCATCATCATCATCATCGTCATCGTCATCATCATAATCATCATCATCACAGTCATCATCATCATCATCATCATCACAATCATCATCATCATCATCAACAACAACATCACCATCATCAACATCAACATCTAATCACAATCATCGTTGTAATCAAGCACATAATTTTTCATTATTCTTTTGAGGATGAACATGAACCATATTGGAAAAGCAAATTGCATCCCATTCGTACTATGATGATCCCACTCTTTAGTATCTCATGATGCATCCGACGGTTTCACATGGCTTTGTAACTTTTGTATGCCCAGTTTCCATACCGAGTTCAAGACACCTCTGGCCTCCAGGACTCGCCGGTGCAGCTTCCAAAAGGCTCAAACGGGATCTGGGTAAAGCACCGGGAGTTCTGTTGTCGTTGACAACACAGTCCGTTATAGCATTCTGGTGGAGGTCTGGAGGCGATGTGCCCGACCGATTTGACTGTGGAAACCTGTCCCAGTTGGTTTTGGTTTGATCACCTTTATCTTGCATTCATGTATTCTTGATCGACACGATCTTAAGCTCATTATGTAGCTCCACACCCCCAATCTTTTCGCATCATATAATTGTTCATGTTTGATATGCATGCATCGCGTGGCTTTTCGCGGCGCTGCCTACGGAGCGCCAAAGCTGGCGTCGCTGCGGAGGCACCGGGAAGCTTTACGTCGTTGACCACGCATTCTGCCCGTGGTCTGGTGGCGATGTCCCCGGCCGACTTGAGTCTTGCAATATGGTCGTGTTGGCATGGGTTTGATCAGCTTTATCTTCATTCATACGACAAGAAAGCATATATATATAGTTAGTCATACTCTTGAGCGATGTGAGACTTTGTTTTTGAGTTTGGAAGTGTGTGAATTCAAAACGCTCTGACGTTGCTTCTGTTGCTCAAAGCAATGCTGAGTAGTGCCTGGGGCGCCAAACCTCGAGGTCAAAGCCGTGTGCGGCTAGACATGAAAAAGGAAAAATCGTCTTGACCGACTGGTTGCACGGTGCCCTCAAAGGGAGGAGCTCAGAGCCATGGGCCGAGTGTATCCAATACGGCGTACACTTGGAGTCTCCGAAGGATGAAAAGTATTTGGTGAAGCACTTGAATCGCCGCTACCAATCGGAGTTCGGCTGCACCGTGACGCTGCGGGGAAGAAGACAGAACGAGCAAAAACGACTCCGGTTTGTGGATGCGTCGGATGCACGCAAGTTCCTCGTGGCTTCCTTGTACCCCATGAAGAAGCTGACTGACAGCAATGAGCGCTTGCAAGCGCTAGCGGCAGCGGAGAGTCACTTTGACGCCACGCTGCGTGATATGCTTCAGGGCAAACACCGCCCTTCGGCCGATGAAGAGACGGGCTCAGTATCTTCTTCTTCGGCTGTTCCTGCATCGGCGTTGTCTCAGCCTGCTTCGTCAGAGGTGCCATGGTTGCGTAGCTCGGGTGCGGCTATGGGAGCTTCTCGAATGCGTAGCAAGGGTTCCCGTTTCACTCTGGGGGTCTGGGGGTTGAGGGTGTGTTCGCTCGACGTTGCCCAACCGTCCGCAACCGTCCGCAACCGTCCGCAACCGTCCGCAACCGTCCGCAACCGTCCGCAACCGTCCGCAACCGTTCGCAACCGTTCGCAACCGTCCGCGTGAGGGCCATATGGCCGTGCCTATGGTAAGTTCTGCAGAAGGGGTCACTTTTGGAGGTTTCACATGTGGCGTTTCTTCGTTTCGCGTGGCAGGCGTGGCGCTTCGTGACACTCAGACGTTTTTTGTAACGTGTCGAAAGCCGTTTTCTGTGGCAGGCGCATTACTTTTGCAACGTTTTCAGAAGATGCGTTGCAGTTTTCATGGCAGGCGCAGCACTTTGGACGTCGTCATTTGGCCTGGCAGGCGCAGCACTTTAGACGTGTCGTGTTGGGTGTTTTTTGCGAACCGAATTGTCAGGGCTGCGTCAGGTGGCGACAAGGTGCACTTCCGTGGTAGGCGTGGCATTTTGTGAGATGTGATGAAAATTGACGGAAGCCTCGCACGAAACATCGATTTTGATGTATCAAATTTTCAGGTTCTAAGGAAAACTCGTGGGAAAACATCGATTTTGAGGCTACAAAGTGTGAAAATTGAAGGAAGTCTCGCACGAAATGCGCGTTTTGATGCTCCCACGTGTCTCGTCTCGAGTCTCTGGTTTTCCTTCTCGACGGTTTCCAAGCAGGTTGTCATCTCGTTTTGCGTGGCAGGAGCGGCACTTTGTGACATTCCAGCCTTTTGATAACGTGTCGAAAGTCGTTTTGTGTGGCAGGCGCAATATTTTATGTCGTTTTCACACAATGAGTTGCAGTTTTCGTGGCAGGCGCATGATTTTGGCGATCTCTGTCGTCATTCTGCGTGGCAGGCGCAGCACTCCACACGTGTCGCATTGCCTTCTCTACACTTCCACACTCTACTCCACACTCTACACTCCACACTTCACACTTCACACTTTACACTCCACACTCCACACTCCACACTTTACACTCGACACTCCACACTCTACACTTTACACTCCACACTGTGCACTTTACACTCTACACTTTACACTATACACTCCACACTCCACACTTTCCACTCAACACTCCACACTTTACACTCCGCACTCCGCACTCCACACTCTACACCTCACACTCCACACTTTCCACTCGACACTTCACACTCCTCACTCCACACTCTACACTCCGCACTCCACACTGTACACTCCACACTCTACACGTTACACCCCACACTTTACACTTTTGCTCCACACTTTACACTTTACAATCCGCACTTTACCCTCCACACTCCACACTCTACACTCCACCCTTTAGACGTCACACTGTGCACTCCACACTTTGCACTCTACACTCTAAACTCCACACTTTACACTTTACACTCCACAGTTTACACTCCACAATTAACACTCCACACTCCAAACTCTACACGTTACGCTCCATACTTTGCACTTTACACTCCACACTTTGCACTTCAGACTCCACACTCTACACTTTAAACTCCTCACTCCACACTCCACACTTTACACTTTATACTCCAAACTCTGCACTCTACACTTTCCACTCAACACTCAACACTCCACACTCTACACTTTACACGCCGCACTCCGCACTCCACACTCTACACCTCACACTCTACACTTCCCACTGGACACTTTACACTCCTCACTCCACACTTTACACTCCACACTGTACACTGTACACTCCACACTCTACACGTTACACTCCACACTCCACACTTCACACTTTTCACTCCACACTCTACACCTTACACTCTACACTTTCCACTCGACACTTTACACTCTACACTTTGCACTCCACACTCCTTACTTTACGGTCAACACTCCACACACTACACTCCACACTTTACACTCCACACTCCTTACTTTAGACTTTTACCCTCCACACTCCACACTCTACACGTTACACTCCACACTTTTACACTCCGCACTGTGCACTCCACACTTTAAACTTTACACTCCACACTCTACACTTTACACTCCACACTTTACACTTTACACTCCACAGCTCACACTCCACACTCTACACTTTGCACTCCACACTCCACATTCCACACTCTACACTCCACACTGACTCCACACTGTACACTCTACAGTTTGCACTCTACACTCCACACTTTACACTTTACACCACTCCACACTCTACACCTTACACTCCACACTTTACACCCTACACTGCACTCTACACTTTACCCTCCACACTCCACGCTCTACACTTTACAACGGCTGCACTCGACACAGAATTTCTGCGATGCTCCGGTAGAAGGCGGAGTCGGACAATGCTTGTTGACTCTGCAGTGCTGTTTGAATGGTTAACGTGGCCTATTTGTCAAAATCATATTTGGTATGATGCTGTTGAACTCGAGAACATGGTCTTTTGTTTAACATAAATCAGTCCCCTTGTTTCAATGGCCGTCGTTATGACGAAGTGACAGAACATTAGGCGGCGCTTGCAGGTTACAGCACTGCTGTACCCGGAGAAATGACTAGCGACTGTGTTTTGGAGCTAATACTGACCGTTACACAGCAATCGAATATGAAAACCTCATATACAGCAATTGTATAACTTTTGATATCGTTTGCTGCTGTTCTTGCTTAATTCTTTTTTGTGAAGCGAGCTGTTGGTCAGGTTCCGTCGCCTGGGCAGCTTGCCGCTGGGAAGCTTGCATCTGGGATGCTTGCAGCTGCTGGCTGTATATGGCTTTTGTATGACTTTGTATGTGGCAGGACTTGGAAAGGTGGGGACCATGGCTGCGGTGGGTTCAGGATGCGAATGACATTTGACAGCGACGATGATGCCGATGACGACGACGATGTCGATGACGATTGTTTTTGGATTGCCTCGGTCTTCTGATATGTTATTCGAATGGATTGTATATATAAAGGTTTGCAGAATACACAACTTCATGTGAATGATGTTGACAGTGTAAATTGACATCGTGGACTTAGCATGTTAGTCTCGGCCGACGTGTCGCTGTCAACGGTAGAGATGGTCAAGCTTTCCATGCATTGAAAACTTGATGTCAAGCCGCACATGCTTGTGTCACGAACGAGCTTCGCCGGTGACTGTCAGCGTGGTTGAGGTGTGAGATGTAGTTATGACATGACCACCAGTCGAATGTGAAAAGAATCAACAACTTTGCATGATGTGTAAAAAGTACCAAATGTAAACAGATAGAACGAAGCAACAGAAAACCACAAGAACACAAAGACATGTTCGATAAATGATTTCATGCTGAACTGGCATTCCCTACCAGTGTGACTCCCTGGCCGTGGCTCAGTCCCTGCCAGTGGACCATGAGCGACCACGTGCGTCTAGAGCGTTGGCTGGATGACAACCATGCCAAAGGTGAATCGTTGACACCGGGCAAGGAGGTCATCGTGTATCAGATACCTTTGGCTAAGGAGTTCAAGACCCGGGTGATCGCTGTCTTGGATCGCTTTTGTGCTGAGCTGGGATGCTCCTTGACTCTGCGAGGACGGGCTCGAATGGAGAGGCAGCGGCAAGCATTGTCGGACAGCTCTGGGCAAGAGATGGACAAGTTGCATCACATTTATGTGAAAGTGATCGGGACAGAGGAGTCACAGGAGCAAAGAGTTCAAAAGATCAGAACAGCGGAAGCCACCGTTGATGCTTTCATCACCACGATGCTGCACACGAAGGACGCTGACAAGATCTACATGTTTCCGCCCGCAGATATGCAGCCGCCGCCGACGGAAACGACATCTACAACCCGGCGGTGGCTGGCGCAACTGACGGACAGCGGTGATATCACCGGCTTCGAAGCCCTTCCGGGTGCTCCGGTGACTGTGCTGTCGCATGTGACACCACCGGCGCATGGCCAAGAAGAAGCAGAAACACTGCGTGACAGTGGGTTCAGTCCTCCAGCGGAAAGTCTGGTCGCAGAAGTCGCCGCCATGTCTCAACAAGAGCGTTTGCAGCGAGCAGAGGCTGCCCGTGGCTGTCTAGTGAAAACTTGGCGGGACAAATTCAAGATAGATGGGAGAGGCCGTGACTTTCACGGCATCATTTCCGGTGACTGCATGGCAGATATTCCTGACTTGCTCCAGGCTGGATGCGTGACACAAACAGCTCAAAAACCAAATGTATTCACGTTCTTGGACTACGAGTGAAAACCTCTGCAATAGGAAAACGAACCTTTTTTTTCATGCATCGTGCGCGCATATCGTCTCAGCCAAGGCACCTGATCAACAGTTCACAAAGAGACAACTAACCAGCACTCTACACTTTACACTCTACACTCCACACTTTACACTTTACACTCCACGCTTTCCACTTTACACTCCTCACTCCACACTTGACACTCCAGACTTTACACTTTACACTCCACGCTTTCAACTTTACACTTTACACTCCACACTTGGCATTCCACACTTTGCACTTCAGACTCCACACTCCACACTTTACACTCCTGACTCCACACTCCACACTTTACACTGAACACTCCTCACTCCACACTTTACACTCCGCACTTTACGCTCCACACTCCAAAGTCCTGACTTTACACTCCGCACTCCACAATCTACACTTTCCACTCAACACTCCACACTCTACACTTTACACTCCGCACTCCGCACTCCGCACTCCACACTCTACACCTCACACTCTACACTTTCTACTCGACACTTTACACTCTACACTTCACACTCCACACTCCCTACTTTACACTCCACACTCCACACTCCACACGCTACACTGCACACTTCACACTCCAAACTCCAGATTCTACTCTTTACACTCCACAATCCACACACGGCACTCCCCACCTTCCACTCCACACTTTGCACTTTACACTCCGCACTCCACACTCCACACCTTACACTCCACACTTCGCACTCCAAACTCCAGATTCTACACTTTACAATCCACAGTCCACACACGACGCTCCCCACCTTTCCCTCTGCACGTACACTTTACACTCCACACTCCACACCTTACACTTTACACTTCACAGTCCGCACTCTACACTTTATATCCACACTTTGCACTTTACACTTTAGACTCCACACTCCACACTCTACACCCTACACTTTACTACACTCTACACTGTACACTCTACACTTTACACTCTACACTCCACACTGTAGACTTTACACTTTACACTCCACACTTTACACTCCACACTCCTTACTTAACACTTTACCCTCCACACTCCACATTCTACACGTTATACTCCACACTTTTACACTCCGCACTGTGCACTCCACACTTTAAACTTTACACTTCACACTTCACACTCCACACTTTACACTCCACACTCCACACTTTACACTCCACACTCCACACTTTACACTCTCCACTTGACACTCCACACTTTACACACCACACTCCACACTCCACACTCTACATTCCACACTCTACACTCCACACTCCACACTGCACACTCCACACTCCACACTCTACACTTTATACTCCACACTCAACACTTTACACTTTACACTCCACAGTTCACACTCCACCCTCTACACTTTGCCCTCCACACTCTACACTCCACACTGACTCCACACTCCACACTCCACACTCTACACTGTACACTCTACAATGTACACTCTACAGTTTACATTCCACACTTTACACTTTACACTCCTCACTCCACACTTTACACTCCACACTTTACACCACTCCACACTCTACACGTTACACTCCACACACTCTACACTTACCCTCCACACTCCACACTCTATACACTTGTTTCACAAGTGTTCTATGTGACTGCATTCGGGTTCGTAGGCTGCATCTTGTTTTCCATTCATGTCGAACTTATTTCACTGCTTGGAGGCTCGACCAGGGCAGTCAGTGCCGCCGCCGCCACCACCGCCTGTGCTACCGCATGGCTTGACCGGCCACCGACCCGTGGTCTTTCAACCGGACTCGTTGCTGAAGGGCCGAGGGAATCTGCCGAACGTGCCGAATGTGCCCCACGTGCCGGTGAAAGTGCCGCCCCGGGTGATGAAGGCGGTGAATATGCCAAGCAGCCTGGATCAGTTGCATAACCAGATGGAGTGGCGACCACCGCCCTTAAATCCGGCGGGACCCACACAGCTCCCCGGATCGGGTCCAACCAGCCAGAGTCTTAGGATGTGTCCGACAGTCTAAAAGGAGGCGTAACAGGATGGGGGTGACCTAACCGGACGGTGATCTTGGGTGATCACTGACATGAACTTTACATGGAATTATAGAACCATATAGAACCGTGAATTTTCATGAAATTTGAATAACAAATAAATATATATATAGATTTATAAGTTTTCTACGGTTTTCTACGGTTTTCAACGGTTTTCTACGGTTTTCTGATTGTGCAGCCGTGTTTCAAGTTCTGGCTTCAAGAGACGGTTCACACCGAGGTGTTCAAGCACCCCTTCCGAAAATCCGTCCCACCCAAAAAAGGCGAACTTTTCCGCAAGGAGCTAAGCAGCAGCTAAGCATTGACTAGCATTGAATGAAACAAAGCTGATGAAATCTCACGAAAATGATCAAAGTGGTGTAACCATTGTAAGCATTGCGAAAAAAGTCACCTGCAAAGACACAGATTGAGACTTTGGAGACGAATCCAGTGACGAAACAGTGCTCGACGTGCTCGACTTGGATGCGTCTCAGGTCACAGACCTCGGAGTCTGAGGCAAAGCGCCTGCGTGGCTGGGAGCTTGGAATGCTAAATGGAGAAATGGGAACTGGAAGAGATATGAAGAGAAGAGATATGTTGAGATCATGTTGAGAGAGATGTTGCGGTTGTGATTTTTAAAGGACGTATTTTCTGATGTTCTTCTGACATCTTCGGACACTTCTGTTTTCGTTAGAGGCGCAACATTTGCCACGGAGCTGCGATTGTGGCTGAGCGACTTGGACAACGGCAAAGGTGTGATGCTGCGCTACGAAGAGGCGACAGTCTGTCGACCTGAGTCGACGTGAGTTGACGTGAGTCGGCCGAGTTGTCGGAACGCTGCTCGTTGCACTGAAAAAATGTAAACACATAATGTAAACACAGAACATAATAAATTAACAATCATAATATATAAATTCTGTATTCACTGTGGACCAAGATGTTCCGGTTCTGATAGCATCTTGATCATCTTGCGGCAACTTCGCCAGTGTCGGAGGCATTGACGGCCTATGGCAGCTTTGAGGAGCTGATGAAGCTTCGCAATGAGATGCTCAGATGAAAGATGCAGATGTTTGCAGGTTATTTCAGGATCAATGGTGTCCCCCAAAAATGGTGCAACCTGCATCAACCTACGGATAATTGCGGAAATAAGAAGATAGCGAATCTATGTGAATCTATGTGAATCTATTGACATTTTGCACTTATTTTTTGCAACTTCGAAGAATTCAATGTTTGCCACGGACTCTCAGTGTCCCGAGGGATGAACATGAGTGGGCTGAACAAATCGACTTTGAAACACAAGGCGGGACGGCGGGACACATTTCAAACCATTTTTGGCGATCGTCCCATTCCAGCATGTTGAAAAAAATCGTACAGATCTGCCTCAAGTGCAATATCGAAATATATCGAACAACTCCCTAGGATTCAAGTGATTTCAAGTGATTTGAAGAGATTCAAGTGCTTGCTCGCTTCAGGTCATTTGCTGGTCTTCAAGAACGGCTTGCGGAAAATGAGGGAAAGACCGGGCCTTGGTGACCTATGGTGGCCTGTGGTGCCCTGTGGTGCCCTGTGGCTCTCTGCCATTGAAATCGATGGTGATGTTCATCTAGCCCAATCTGTTCCACCTATGTTCCACCTATGTTCCATCCAGGGACCGTTGGACAGTTTGACACTGTGCAATCAATGTTATCTTGACAAATTCACAAGAATTTAGTTAATGTTCACATCTTTTTTTTGGCATTTTTCCACAACATTTTGATAACAACAAGTTCCAAAGAGCCAATTGGCTCAATTCGACTCTTGCCGTCTCGAGGTCGGGGTGTGGAGGAGCCGAGCTTCACGAAGCCACAACCAAAGGTCACTCCTCGGAGTCGTCGGAGTCGGATTTCGTGTCAGAAATGCTCTATATATATATATTATATGATATATCTATAGAATTTCTATAGATAGTTAAGTAGATACTTAAGTAGATACTAAAGACATCTCAAGACTGACTAAGACTAACTTAAGAGATCTTAAGATACCATTGATACGACACATTGTATTTGATTGAATTGTCCAGAATCAGAATATGTCCATAGCCGTTGCAGCATAGGTGCAGTTTTCTGTGAATCGGAACATAAGTTTATTGCGCATGTGTTCTTGGACCTATTTGGACCTCATAGATATTGGGATGGAATCGTCACTGCTTCGATTTCAGGCAATGCCTGCCTTCGTCCAACCCGTGCCAAAGTAGGAATCTCGGAGCCATATTTCACCGGTCACTTTCTAGTGGAAAAGCGTTCGGCATTCAAACACATGTTGCGCATGTTGACAGCATGTTTGGAAAGAAAATAAAACACTATAAAACACCTGATTTCAGCATTTCAGCATGCCTTTCAGTTTCTATGTGCAGGTCCAAAGCTCAACCAGCCAAGCAGGTGGGGCCGTGTGGGACGGTGTCGTGTGACGTCGTGTGACATGGCAGAAATGCGTAATTTTGTCATTTTGTCATTTTGAAGCTGAAGGTTTTGTAGATTTCTGTACACTTTGGCACTTTGGTTCATATTTTTGCTCTAGTGAGGTGCTGATAAAATGTATATTTTTCTACAAACATCACTGGGGGGTTCATGAGAAAACAATTCTGCTGGTCAGAGATTCAACGAGATTCTGTTGAGGACGAGGCCGAAACAGAAGAGGTTCACGAGGCGCTTCGCGAGTTGAGCTATGTTGAGCTATGAACATGTTCCAAAGTGTTTGAAATATTTTGAACATTATTATGATTGATATTTTGACTTTTTTGATACAATTAAAGAATATTAAAGACGTAGTGAGCGTCTCCTGTCTCTCCAGGAAGGTATGGGCCATGACTGGCAAGCTTTTGAGGCACGCCACTGCGCCACTGCAGCGTACTGCGCCGTAGATCGATCGAATCGTTGTGGATATCTCGCAGGAACTGCAGATGGAACCGCTGGAGGAAGGCGAAGAAGGAGAATCCGAGGCGGCGAAATCCACATCCGAAACGGCATCCGAAACGGCATCCGAAACGGTATCCGAAACGGTATCCGAAACGGTTTCCGGTTCAGCATTTCCGTTGTTCCTTGACCGCCAAGTTGAGGACAGACTGTCGGACAAGGATTTCTGGAGTTTAGATTCTGACTGTCACACCTTGGTCCCTCTATCGCTTTCCTGCAATGAGATCTACGGCGACCGCCATTTTAGGGGACAATGATGTTTGACGTCTTTTTGCAAAGTTGGACAAATCACAACAAATCTATCATTAGCGAAACTTGCCTGTTTAAAAGTGTGAGCGAGTGCACTTCTTCATGCAGTTCTCGACTTGGCACTCACACCGGGTTTCTCCAGGTCGATGAAGAATGGCAGGCACTGTGCTCGACCTTGCTGTTTTTTTTTGAATTTTCTATTCTTTTGTTCACAAAGTTATTCTACCAGCGATCAGTACCCATCACTACCTATCAGATCCTATCAGTGCCTATCAGTATACCTACAACATACCTATATCAGAATACCTAGCAGTATACCTGTCAGTCTTTTAGCGTTGCGAAAGCAGGTTCTATGGGGTGATGTTTGCTCAGGAGGATCTTCCAGAGATGGAAGGCGAGCTGCGATTGGAAGAAGAAGAGTGGGAGGAGACTTTTGTTTCCCAAGAGCACTTTGAGGAGGACGACATTGGCATGGAAAAGATTTGGCAGGTGCGAAAAAATGCGAAAAGTTACGTGGTTTTCAGATTCAGAAACCTTTCAACTGTCGGAGTTTGCTGCATATCAAACATGATCAAACATGATCTATCATTACTTTGTCATTACTTTGTATCTCTTTGTATCCGATACACTCCGAGACACGTTGGATGCCATGAAAGCCATGAAAGCCTCGGACAGCCTGTCAGATCTGTCAGATCTGTCAGGGAGTTCTGTCGAAGCCACAGTGGCAATCGTGGCACTCCAAGTCCACGGAGCACACGGAGTACACGGAGTACACGGAGTACACGGAGCAACAGGAGTTCCCGGATTTCAACGAGGCGGATGGGCGATGGCAAGCGATGGCCATGGGAATTGGCCGAATATTGGCCGAATTGGCCAGGCGGTCATATCAGTGTCTCCATTTCGACATATGACTATATGACTCTTATGACTCCGTGAATTTCCAACGAAGTTGCCAATGATTTTGTACAAAGGCACTTCAAAGGCAAAGACATTCGAAGACATTCGACGTAGTATTCGAAGTAGTATTCGAAGTGTCCACTGAATTCATGAATGGCCCAAATTGTATCCAGTTGTGTGAATGGCCTTTGTTTTACGATGTTTCTTAAATTTTCATGACTTGGAGGAACAGGCTGATGAGCACGAGGAGATTAAAGAAGAGGACCTCAGCGATCAAAATCCAACATCCGAGGGGTTTTCAAACACCAACCCGGAAACTCCATGGAAACTCCATGGAAACTCCATGGAAAACCCAGGATGATACAGGATGATACTCCAGGAAAGGTCATGGGGTAAAGATGAGCAAACTTTTTGCATCAGGACAACGGAGACGAGTTCGAAGAGGCTGTGCTCCAAAAATATGGCGAAAAACGCCAGAACTGCCGTGATCTGCCGTGTATACGAGTAACATAGGAGTAACATAGGAGTAACTATATGAATCTCTATATATATATAATACATTATGATACCATACTAAAAATATGTAATCACATGTTTGAGCAGTTTTTTTATATTTACAATTAATATTCTCCAATTTTCTCGACTATAAACCACACAGGATGGATAGCTAAACCATAGCCTGAATTTCTTTGAAATGCCACATGCATTACACCATGTCATCACATCAATTTACATTTGCAGTATGCTTGTTTGGTCTCGTCGATTTCCCCAAATTCACAACTTTTGGCAACCCTTCGAAATATATGTGTTACCCAATACATATAGCTATTACAGAATAATTTGCAATACATATCGATACATACATGATCATATTATATAGCTATTAGGCTATTAGTACATTTGTTCATGTATATTCTCATCTTATTAACATATATATATAATATAATATAATGTAATATAATGTAATATAATATAATATAATGTAATATAATGTAATACAATGTAATATAATATAATATCATATAATGTAATGTAATATAATGTAATACAATGTAATATAATATAATATAATGTAATATAATGTAATATAATGTAATATAATGTAATATAATGTAATATAATATAATATAATTTAATATAATATAATGATATATGTTTATATGTATATATGTTTATGATGTTTATGATGTTGATGTTTCTGGACCGTTGCAGGTCATGGTGGAAGAGGAGATCTTGGAGGCCCCGGTGACACCTCCAAAGTCCGCGCCCACCACGCCGCCCAAGCGCCCGGCAGCGCCGCCGTCGCCGCCGTCGCTGCCGTCGCCGGTGCCGAAGTCGCTGCTACGGCCGCCCCCCGTGGTGGTGCGACCGCCACCGAAGAACAATGCGGCAGCTGCGGCAGGCCATCCATGATGCCGTGATCCATGAAATCTCCATGAAATCTCCATGAAATGCGAAAGATTTTCTAATTTCTGGAAGTTTTTGAGTGAAATGTGTGATTTCATGAGATTTCACGAGATTTTGGAAGGATGAAATAGGAGTGAAACGGGATAGACTCGACAACGAAACGATATCAAACCGATATTCCAAAATCAATTACAAGAAACGTGGGATTCCAAGAATACGATGAGCAAAAACTACAAAAACAACTTGTCAACCTTAATTAAGCCTTAATTTCTAAAGGGTTGTTCTTGGAGATTGGGCTTGATTCGGCTTGATAGGGACAACTTGAGGGCAGTTGATGCAGTTGTTGTCCAGCTATCTCCAGCGTCAGGTGCTCCCAGTAACTCAGGCATTCTGGGAGTGGCGCCCTCCGGCTATGTGATTCCCAAAATTCGCCCAGCCGCGGTGCGGCCCGATCAACGTGGCTCGGTGCAATAAAAATTCAAAAAGATGCTCCGTTCCTAAAATATCCATAAATAACATATATATATAATATTATATATATAAACATAGATTGGTTGGATATCCAATTATTCAATAGATATCCATTTGATATATTGATATATAATGATATATCATGAGATATCCAATATCTCATATATATCATCAAATATCATCCGTAATATCCAACCAATTCTTGGATTCCATGTTGAACTCAGAGATGATCGTGATGCTTGTGCTATTGGAACGGATTTTGTTTTGACCCAAACCATGACCTCAGGGACCCATCGACAACTCTAGCCCAAACTCAATAGCAACAATGAGTGTTCTTTCCAGATCTCACCGTTTCCACATAGTTTTCCATAGAGTTTTCCTTTCCTCATGCTTTTCCTTATGGTTTTCCCAGCCCTCTGAGAAGCACTGAGGTCAGTCTTGGCCACCCCCTCCGCCGAGGCCCATGGCCGTGGCATCCTCGGTTCAGACTGGGCAAACTGGGCATCCTCGGTTCAACAAATTCGCAGTTTCAAGGTCTCTGGGCAATGAGGTGCAATGAGGTGCGATGGAAAAAAACATGGAAAATGATGGAAAATGATGGAAAATGATGAAAAGTTGGAGATTTGTACTGTTTCGTATTGTATTGCTTTGAGCTTTTCTGTGCTCTGTACTTTTCTTTGTGGGCTCTATGACATCTCAAATCTCGAGATTTGAATTGCGGGCCATGCCAGGTGAGAACTCTGGTTTCGCCTCCCGGCGACATTGAATCCGCTGAAACAGAGTTGAAATCACGAAAAACGTTGGACAAGAGTTGAAAAAAAAGGCCACAGATGGTGCAAAGAGGAAGGTGCTCAAGCACTGATAAGCACTGAACATTTCAAGCACTGAAAGTTCGCTCTCAATGCTTTTCAATGATTTATGGAATCATTTCCCCAGCCAAAACCGGAGTGAACAAAAATCCACAGGGCTGTCCCAAATGGAATTCGTGCAATTCACACTTGTCCCAATCGGTCCTCCCTCTGTGTAATGAAAAGAAACAACTCAAAGCAGAAGAAACGCCATTAATATTCAGTTTCTTCTCCAAAAAAAGATATGAGGTCTATTGACAAGTCATATAATTCATTGATCTTTGAATTTGAAGGGCAGCCTCTTGTTGCTCAAACCACTCTTGATGCGCGCTTACACATCTTACAATCTCATTACAGCGGCACCTCTAGAGACTTGTAGTGTCACTCAGCTTTTGCCTTCAGTTGCGATGAACTCAGAAAGCTTTGAGGCAAACTCAAATTGAGAGATGAGTATGATATGAGTTTGGAAGATGAGTATGATATGAACTGAAGCGATGGTGGTTTGATTCCACCGATTCCACCGATTCCATCATGGCTCCATGGTCGATCATGGGCATTGGCGCCTTGCTTGGAATGTCAGCAGCTCAGGGCGGAACGGCGGAACGGCGGAACGGCGGGCACGGCGAAGCTGTCCCGAAGCCATCCCTTGCCCTCAACGGGTTAGCCATGGATGGTACCATGAGCAGAACGGCAGTTTTTTTTTGTGCATTTTGATGCAGTTTGCCCAGATCTTTTGATATTTTTTTGATCTCAAATCATGCACGGCAGGTGTTCCAAGTGTTGTTCCTAGGTTAGCGGTGGATGCAGTTTTCGATTTTGGTGATCCCAATGCGGCTGAAGCCTCAGTGCACAGACAATTTCAGCGGTTGCAATAGATATCCTCTGGTAATTTAACATAGCTATTGAAAATGACCATTTATAGTGAGTTTTCCCATTAAACATGGTGATTTCCATAGTTATGTTAGTTTACCAGAGGGTATCCAACATGAATTCGACATTTTGAGGCAAAGTCCTATTACTGCACCTTGCTGCACAGAGCCCTAGTTTGGATGAAAACTTCAGCTTCACTTTTCTCAAGTCCTGGCTATGGTCAAACTCGTTGTATACCCGTCGTTGATGACTAAATTTGACTTACACTATGGTACCCCCAATTGACATTTTTTGAACCTTACGGATTTTTGACAGAGGTAGACAGCAAAGCACAAAGCAAACATGGTCTACAGTGCACATTCTGTATTCATCTATATTCATCGTTCATCTATATAATTCTATATATTCATCTATATATCAGGATTTCTTCTTGGCTCTAGGCCGACCCTTTGGAGCTTCCCCTTCGTTCTGCGAGTGGCGAAGCTTGACGTGGAAATGCCAGTAGTTATCTCCCATTCCATCCATTCGTTGACTTTCTTGCAGCATTTTTAGCTTTACTTGCAACTTAACATAGAGATCATAGAGAATGCCAATGGTATTTGGTATCTTTGATTATCTTTGGTATTTGTTCAAGTTAAGACATGTTGATACAGTTGAAGAAGTTGAGTGATTTGAACATTTGAACATCAGCTGGCACAGCACGTCCTGTCACCGTCGCAGGATTCCCGTGGTCTTCTCCGGTCTTTGCGTCGTGGCCAACCTGCAGCGGGGCCCAGTCAGCAGATCCACAGATGGATAGATCGACAGATCCGGCGCCATCAGGATCCATAGCGGCAGCGGATCGATCTTCCACCTGGGCACCTGTGTGGTGATATCCTTATTATCCCTGCAGTTATCCTTGGATCTTTGGACAGATGTGAGAATTGCGAGACAGTATGATGATGATATTTGAAGATATTTGACATGTCGCCAGCATCGTCGACAGTAACTCGTTTCCCGAGGTGTTGCTGATAGGTGGCTTACCCTGTTTTGCCCTTTCAATCGATGCGGCACCTTCGGAAAGCAAATGGCGTGTCCTGTTGTTGGCCACACGGCCATGACGAAAAAATCATGACATGCTAAGAGTTGAAGGGTGGCAGGCCTCACAGGCCATTTGGAGAGTCACACCCTTTCCCTCGACTTCAAAATCAAACATCAAATAACCCAATTGGATCCATTTGGATCCAGTTGGGTTGATATTTCAAGAGGTCCAATATAGATCAATATAGATCAATATATTCAATATAGTATAATAGATATGTATAGATGATGGAATGATTGATGGATGTCTGGTGTTTTCACCAAGGGTAGTTGTTGTTACATATTTTCACCCCATTTTGCCATGGACACACGGGACACAACGAGTGGTTTCAGCTGCGAGGTTTGGAAGATGTGCTACAGCGATCTGCTGCCAGAACTGGCAATGTCAACGCTTCGCGGAGCTCACGGGGTGGACAGCCCGAAGATTTCGGAGATGTTCGGATCAAACTCGAAGCCAAATTTCAAACTCCGAAACTGCAGAAATCATGCGACATATATATATGGAACCTGTATGAACCTGGAGGCATTTTGGCAACAGCATGCAACAGCTCATTGGGATCATTGGGATCATTGGGTCATATGGAGCATTCGACGACAACTTTGAGGTAATGGCTGTGATCTTCGTGGTTAGTATCCTTCTGGAATCCGCTCTGACCTTAGATGTGTGGAGATCCTCAAGCAGAAGACCTTAGATTAGATGTATTTCGATGTGTAGTATTTGAACATGTTTGAAGATTGAACATGTTTCGGTACTGAAACCAAGTAACATCAAGTAACATCAAGTAACTATGAACAGCTATGAAGCACCAAAGATTTCACAGGTTCGCAATCTTCATGGCCGTGCCTTCACAAAGGTGGGCGCCTCACGGAGCACAGCAAAATCTGCAAAGACGCAATGAGGAAAAAAAAGCGAAAAGTGAACGATTTTTGTACACTGAGTTCACTGAGTTCACTGGTTTCTGATCAGGAACTTGCTGCACCAACTTGCAACCCGTTGAAGCCGTTGAAGCCGTTGAAGCCGTTGAATCCCCAAACCAAACTGGGCTCAATGTCCATGTGATCAGCTCAGCCAACATCCGACCTCCGACCCAGAGCACCTTGGGGCTCAGTCGTCGTAGTTTGGAGATGTAGAGTCAACTCCATGGCCTCGATGGAGGCTGAGAAACTCGGCACAAATCATTCACAAGGCCACTGCCATGAAAGTCATTAAAGATCATTAAAGATCATATGAGCCACCGCAAAAACCCCGGCAATACTAAATATGTATTGGACGGACATTGGTTTATGGAAATTGATGGAAATTGTTAAAACACACAGTAAGCGATGGGACCTTCCCAAATTAGCGATACCCCTTTTCAAGGTTATGTCATTGTATTTCTCTAATATCCACATCAGCGATACCCAAATTGGACGTTGATTTCTGTGAATTATATATATATATAAATAGCAGTTTCCTGCAAGCGATACCCCCAAGTTTACCATATATCATTACTGTACAAGCGTGTGGTAAGCGATGGGACCTTCCCAAATTTGTGGATGTCCTTTCCGTGAACCTAGGGTTTTCGAGATTGCTCATATATGTACAACCGCACTTAAAGTGTATCTAACTAACAGTAATCATATAAATATCACTGTATCTCTGACTGGTGTATCACTAATGTAGAATCTTTTGCAATCTTTTACAGATATGTGAAATCAGATGGACATTCATCACCATCACTAGAATACAAGAGTCAAGGATCCATAGGTGGCTTAATATATTTTAATACGCTTCATATGATTCATCTGCTTCATATGTTTCATGCATTTTCATGCCATGTCCAAGGAATGGCCAAGATGAAACTCGCAGCAAGGCGGGGGACGACCGGGGACGAACACGTCGATTTCTCGATTTCTCATGTGGAATCTATGGCGAGATGAGATGGGAAATAGAGAAAGTTTTGTCGCTGCTCTTTGATTGTCTAGACTTGTCTGGACTGAAAAGTAAAAAACAGTGGATTTTCGTCAATGTTCGATGGAACGGGGAGGAAAATCAATCTTTTCGTACGAGACTTTTTGCAAAGGGGAGTCAGAAGAGGAGCAGAGTTATCCTGTGCCACAGCTGAAAAAATGCTGTTGATATTGACATCCTGAAATCTTGATACAAGAGCATCCTGAAAACACCTTAGATCCTTAGATTGGATCAGGTATATCAGGTTGCCTTGCATTGCCTGTAGATTTCCGTTCCAGTATGTTCCAGTGCATCCTAGTGTATTGCAAGTGTTCAAACTGTGATTTGGCATGATTTGACCTTGCGCCCTATGATTTTCGCCAGTTCTGTGGAAAGGGACATGGCATTTTATGGCCAGAGAGTGTATTGCATCTGACAGATTCAGCTGAGCAGTTGGGCATCGCGGCATCGGGCTTCAAAAGTAGAAGCAGTTGCCATTTTGACCCTTCCAGGCGAGAGAAAGCATGGTCTCATTGCGAAGACGAGGACAGTCGTCACTTCCAGTCTTCGAACAGTCCTCTCAACATCTCTCAACATCTCTCAACCCAAAGTTTCAACGATTTCAAAGTGTGAAACACACTGTTTCAAGCCCATCAAGCCCAGGATCGCAAATGACTTTGGAAATCAGACGACCCGGATCGAAGATGCTTACATCACATCGCTTGCCAGAGATCATCAACGAGATTGGAATTGGATGGTATCACATTATTTCATTCGTCATCTTAGTATGCATGCCGCTTGCCGAGGGTGCTGGGATGATCGTTGCTGGGCCGAGTTTAAGGATGAAATTCTGCGCTGATGATGATTCTTTAAACGAGTATAACAAGATTGACCAATCATGACCAATCTTCTTGAGATTCTTGAGGTTATGACCAACATCACCCACTCCTTGAAGCATCAGTTTCACCTATCCACCTGGCAAGCGGGCAGCTTGGAGACTTGACTGCAAAAGGGGCTGCAAGGGGCTGGAAGTTTCTATCATAGCTCTGGTTGCAACAAGCTTGTAGAACCTTATCAGCACTTGCCTTTGGGTTTTCCACATTTTCCACATTTTCCACATTTTCCACATTTTCCACATTTTCCACATTTTCCACATTTTCCACATTTTCCACCTTTCCATTGATGTCATGGATGTCATAGTAGATGTCATGGCATCCTTTTTACACATCGGCGCTCAGCTGTTTCCTGTTGGTATTTCAGGATGCCTTTTCCTTCACAGGCTTGGCCGTGGGGCATTCAGTGGCGGGTTTCCTGGCAGATTTGAAGGGTCGACGACTTCCCATTGTTTTGGGCTACCTGGGGATCAGCCTGCTGAGTCTTTTCATGACCATGTCCTCGGGATATTCCTCCATGGTGGCCTTGAGAATCCTGCATGGCATAGCTTGTGGGATTGGAGTACCACCAGCAATGTCCATGATTGCAGAGATTATGCCAAGTGATTGGCGGCCGTTCATGTTCATCGTCTTCTGGAGTTTCACTGCGGTGGGGGAAACCTATGCGGCTGCTGGGATGGTCATCTTCATGCCGGAGCTCAAGGAAGACTCGTGGAAGCAGGCGCATGGAAACATCACAACCCTTCATGCATCATGCATACCCTGAACATGGATGAACATCATCTGAATCATCTGGATATGTTTGGAGATTTTTCGATAGAAATGATTTGACTTTGACCAGATCAAAAAAAGTGCAACTGAAATTGGCAGGTGGTCCTGTGGTCAGCATTTCCTGCCTTTGCCATGCTGCATCTTAGCTGCAGTTGGCAGATGGGTTCAAGACACCGGAATCACTTTCCGACGTTCCATGATGTTCCATGAACAAAATCGTTGCCACTCGACTTCATTCAACGTCGAGTGTTCAGTGATTACCCTCTGGTAAACGTATACAACAAAACTATGGGAAATTACCATGCTATTAATGGGAAAACTCACTATTTCAATGATTTCAATGGCCATGTTCAAAAGCAAACTGTTAGTTTACCCGTGATTTCCCATTAAAAATGGTGATTTCCCATAGATTTTTGTATGTTTACCAGTGATTCTTCGTTGCCAAGTCGCAGGCTGCTGTCAGTGGCAAGGCTTCAGGAGAGCGCCCACTGGTTGGCTGTGCGGGGTCGACTCATTGAGGCCCGGATTGTTCTGGAACACATGGCCAAACTCAACGGGACCTTCGGTTGCATGCGAAATCTTGGATGGTTTGATGATATTTTGCGAAAGGGAACTAGGTAATACAATCATTTCACATGCTGAGCATGTAGTCAGTAATGCATGGACTGCCAATCACTTGGCTCAAGTCATGCGCGAGGAAAAAGACCGTTCTCCGAACGCCATGCAGTGACGTTGCCCTGCACTACCAGCACACCCGGTACTACAATCAAAAGGGATAATCCAGAACAAGGATCAATTTGTTCACAGGTTATCAGCCGTAGGGCTCACTTCTCCCGCCGGGAGAGTGGTACCTGCGTGCTGGTAGCCGGGCCGTCTGAGCAATTGATTGAGGACGCAAAGGACCAATCAGCTCATCATCGCAAAGATGCAAGGCGGCAGCGGAGATTCGCGCACCACGCAGTTTACCTTCAATGAGAACGCTGCTATGCCGGTCGAGGAGGTCAATCAATCTTCCCCTGGCGACACGGCAGACAGTGGCGGGATACGCTCTACCCGAACTACACAGTCCGGATGGCAAGTCACATCAAACAGACGAAGAATATCCACCCAAAGTACACCTAGATCTTCTCGAAACAGTGCTCGGAGTGATGTTGTCCGCCAAGGGCATCGACCATCTCGAGGACGTACTACTCCAAGGGACAGATCCACCAGGGCCGTGACCGACCGAATTGGTGAGAGGACCGGGGATAGTCGTGTTAAGAGGAGATCAACGGATACTTCTGTGGCTAGTGAACCTATTGCCATGATAGAAGAACTACGGGCACAATGTCAATCCCTACGTAATCAGCTGAACAACATGGAAGCATATGCTGCATCCAGGGATCAACTGATTCATGACATCGAGATCAGATTCACTGAGTATCTTCGGGAACACAATCAGAATGTATTTGATGAGGTCAATGCACTCAATCATAGATTGTCATGTTCCGCAAATGAGGTTGCAGAATATCAAGCAGAACTAATGGTAGCATCTCAGGAAGACGAAGGTGCAACAATACGCATCCAAGACCTTGAACGCCGAGGTGCCCTAATGGAACATGGTGCACGACGGATCCATCAACGTGGTATGGAGATCCAGGAGGAGTACAAGGATGAAGTACATCACCTTCAAGGACTACTGGGTAATACGGAGGCAAGACTACAACAACTTCATCAAACCAATGTCTTAACCACCGATATTGCCAATCGACTATACAATGAAGGTCAAGAAATGCAAAATGATTTCCAGAACTCAATCATGGAATATCGTAATCGATCTGAAATGGCATCCTCCTCTAGTAATCAACTTGAAGTGATTAGCCAGCAACAATCAATTGCAGTTCATGAATTATCTGAGCGAAATCAGCTATTGAGTGAAGCCTTGGTTCAGTCTCGTAAGCAGGCCGAGCTGTATGAGAGCAGTATTGATGAGATCACTAGAGAGTCTAGGAAGAAGGTGTTCGAGGCAAATCAGGCCAAATTGGAAAGTGATCTGAAGCATCGAAACACTGAACATGATACCGTCAAAAGAATTGCATCATACAGGAACCAAGAGGCCGAAGCAATATCTCACCTGAGGCTTGAATCACAGGCTAGTGCAAACTCGATCGCAAGGGCAGAGCACTATGAAGAGCTCTATGCCAACGAGCAGAAGATGAACTGCGAATTGAAGGATGAGATCAAGTTGCAGAACACGAAGTTACGAAGATCATTGACTCAGGGTTCTACGACCGACGGTCGTGGCCCCGAAGAGATGCTTGTTGAAGATCTACGTAATCAAGCTAAGATCGCTCAAATCAGGGTTCAAGATCTAGATCATGAAGTTCATGAATGCTTACAAGAGAATTTGTTGTTAAAAGAAAGGTTGGCTGAAGTTGCGGATGTAGGGGCGTCGTCCCTCACCAATGCTGAGGTCCGAACTCTAAGGTCTGAGCTAGAGAGTGAGCGAAAATTAAAATTGGCGAGTGGTGTTCAACAATATGAGAGATCATGCATGTTCATGGGGGAAATCCAGGATAGGGATGAAAAGATTGGCATCAAGAATTCTGAGATTGTTGACATGAAACGTCACTTAGATGAACTGAGAAAGAGTCTCAAGGATTCTGAAACATCTATGGCTAGGATCAGTCCTGACACACTTCCCTATTCGGCAGGCATTCCCAACTCCGATCTCGCATCCAGACTGGTCATCGACAAACTGGAGAATGACGTGAGTGAGGCTAACTGTGAAAACGCTATTCTGAAATCCTGGGTTTCGCAGATCGACAAGGAGTTGACTTATGAGACAAATGTGGCTCATTCCTATCGTGGGCATGATTTACCTCCTCAACAACCACAGCATTCTCAATCAAGCAAAAGAATCGCTGATCTACTGAAAGAGGTTGACAACAAGATCGCTGGCGGAACTGAGAGGGAATACTACAGGCCACCGAGTGGATGGGGCGGTCCGCCTGACCCTGATGGACCTCCGGACCCTTTTGGGCCTAACGGTCCAGGACCACCTCCTGAACCTCCTGGTTTGCCATCGGTTCGAGGATCACAACGCGATTCAGCAGATGATGTCTCCACAGCGGCTTACACTGCGGAAGAAGTACCAAGAATGTCAAGACGAGAGGCTGACAAAGTCTATGTTAGCCCATGGCCAAAGCAACAGAATCTTGGGGTTTGGCAATCAGATCTCATCAAGAGTGTTGTCCTTTCGGCAAACGACGGGGATAAAGCCGCATGGGAGGCATGGCTACAGCCGGCTATTCGACCTAATCCTGACATCGAGCTGTTGAATGACAGTGGGGGGCAACGGTATCAGTCCATCGACGCCAAGTTGTCAATCGCATTGTCAAACGTGATAGCCCAAGCAGGTGATGTTGCCCGTTATGTAGCGATCAAATTGAGATTGAGAACACAAAGTCATAGCCGAAGAGGAACCTATGTCATGGGACGGGAAATCTTGGCTTTGATTCTGGAGCACTTCAGAACCCCAGGTCAACGAGAAACATCCTTCACCATGGAGCACATCGTATCGATGAAGTATCTCGGTGACTCGAACCTAGAAGTGTTCTACGAGAAATGGATGGAGATGGTATCAAACATGATGCCGGATGACGTACCTCCTGATGATTGGCTTCGTGACGCTCTATATAAGAAGATTCGAAATTCGAGTCTTATGATGTTCGACATCAAGCAGTACGAGTCATGGATGGAAGGAGACCAAAGACGAAATTATCGCTACCTGTTGGATGTCATCGAAAGGCACATCTCCAGAATCAGAGAGGACAAGCATGTGGCAGCCAGAGAGAAGTATGCGAGAGACTTTGCAGGCGGCGGCAAACCTTCAGCTCCTGCTCCGAACCCAACTGCTGCTGCACCGGATGCAAATCCAAAAGCAAAGCCTAAAGCTACTCCCAAGGAGAAGGCAGCGCCCAAGGCGAAGGCCAAGGCCGATGCAGCTCCGGTTCTACCATCACCTCAGCCTAAACAGCATGCAAAAGGAAAAGGAAAAGGTCAAGGGAAAGGGAAGGATCGATCAAACGGCCGAAGTACCAGCCCCAGATCCAAGAAGAAGATTCCATGCCATTTCCATTTCATCAAGAAGGCATGCAGAAAAGGCAAGGATTGTGAATACAGTCACGACCAAAAGGTATTTGATGCGAACAAGAATGCAAAAGGCAACGGTCGGAAGCCAGGAACTCCAAGAAGTCAGTCTCCGGCAAACAAGACCAAGAAGGTTGATGAACCATGCTGGCATTGGGCTAAGGGCAAATGTCGGTATGGAGACAAATGCAACAAACGCCACGATCCTCATCTATTCAACACTGCTCCAAACACTGAAGCACCAAGCTCAAAGGCTACTCCTGCACTTATCCATGATTGGAGTGATGATGAAGGGACGTTCCATAAGGTTGCATCAAACGTGATCAAGAAGAAGATCAGATTTGATGAGTCGAAAACTCAAGTTCAAACCTACGTGAAGAAGGACTTCGTGAAGTGCAGCCGGAAATCCCAAACCATCCTCAAAGGTCATGGTAAAGTTGGCAAGCCCACTGATCAGATAAAGAAAGATGAGCAATGGTCTTATTCATGCAGGTTAGCTTCGAGCCGAGGGAAAGCAATGGCTATTCTGATCGATGAGAAGGGTGAACACGGTGACATTGATGAAGTCCTAATCATAGTCGGCCCTAGCATGGACATCCTGATCAGACTCGACGTCGAGGACGGTGAGGTGTCCAGGGAAGTATTTGTGGAAAACTATGTTCAGCATGTTGAAGGTCGATATGGTAAAAGGGGCAACACAATGTGTATCACTGTTCCTGTTGAAGAGAGAGATAAGAGATTCATATTGGATTCTGGAAGTGGCCATGATCTCATTTCATCCACACGGATAAGTAGAATGGATCTCCCAACATACGATGACAAGGTCGTCAACTTCCATACAGCAAATGGGGTAACGTGTTCGACCAAACGTTCAAGCATCAAGTTCGAGGCATTTAGCGAACCAGCAGAAGCTCACATCTTGGAGGACACACCCTCCGTGCTCTCCATGGGAAAGCGATGCGTTGATCTTGGTTATTCTTTTGTATGGCCGACCGGAAGAACTCCATTCATGTTGGATCCAATTGGCAACTTCATCGAGATGACTGTTAAAGACTATATTCCCTATGTGAGCGTCGATCAAGAAAAGTTCAAGTTGAAATCATCTTGTGTAGAGAAGATCATGGCAATTCTTGATGATGGATGCTCAACATCGGAAGGTGAAGGTCTTTTGGTCATTGATGGAGAAAGTGGGGATGAACTTGAAGATCTTTCCGACTCCGTTGGACGATCCAATGTTAAATCACCCAAGAGATCAATGAAGAAACGTAAGAAAGCTAAGGTAAGAGATGATCAACATGAAGTGGCTGTTGGAAGTGATGCAGGCGATGCTGAGGAAATGTCATGCTATGCTGACGAGTATGCCGAGTTTGAGGACGACGGATACGATCCCAGCATCGCACCTGATGACATCCATGAAGATCATCCAATTGAAGTTGAAGAAATTCCTGAAGATGGAGGAGGTGAAGACGACGATGATGTCATTGATGTTG